GACCCTGTGAGATCTGATGGGTCTTTGGGAGGTAATTGGCAGCAGGCGGTCTCTCAAGTACCCAGGTCCAATACCATGAAGGGATTTGACGTGCAGTGTTGGCCTTCCAACACTGGGGAGTTTTAAGAAGAGATTGGACAACCACTTGTCTGAAATGGTATAGGGAAGTGATGGCTAACCTTTTTTGGATTGCGTGCAAAAAGTGGGGGGGAGCACAGGAGGGTTGTGCACGAGCGTGCCCACACCTATAATGCTATGCACGAGACCCCAGCATGCATGTGCGTGAGAACTCTTCCCCCCCCACACTAATGCACATGCGACCAGTGCTCCCTCCTTTTGGTCCCTTTTTTCACTCTCCCCAGGCTCCAGAGGCTTTCAAGGAGCCTGGGGAGGGTGAAAACAGCCCTTCCGCGAAGCCTGCTGGAGGCTTCAGGAGCTTCCTTGAAACCTCCGGCGGGCGAAAAACGGCCCTCCGGGCAACCCGGAAGTTTGGGAACGGTGATTTCCTGTTTGCTTGTAGGGCTGGTTTTTGCCCTCCGGAGCCTCAGGGAAGCCTCCTGAAGGCTCCGGAGGGCAAAAAAATGGCCCTATGAGCAAACCGGAATTCCATTCCCAAACTTCCGGTTTGCCCGTAGGGCCACTTTTAAGCACTCCAGAGGCTTCCTTGAAGCCTCCGGAGGGCAAAAAATGGCCTGAAAAGAAGGCCAAAGTCAGCTGGCCAGTGTGCACATGTGCACTGGAGCTGACAGGGCAACACTCATGTGCCCTAACAAATGGCTCTGCGTGCCACCTGTGGCACGCATGCCATAGGTTTGCCATCACGGGTATAGGGTTTCCTGCCCAAGCAGGAGGTTAGACTAGAAGACCTCCAAGGTCCCTTCCAACTCTGTTGTTCTGTTATTATTAATTTTCCGTAGTTCTTTCTTGGAAATGTCCTCAATCGTCCTTCTCTCCCAATACACATTTCTTGGTAAATTCTGAGCGTCTTTCAAATTTACAACTACACAAGTCGCCTCCATTCCAAGCTCTGTTTTAAAGTTTAAGCTATTTTTCCTGAACNACAACCACGAACTGGAAGACTGAGAATCTCCATCTGCTTTGGGAGCCATCGCAAGGAAGAACTGTGGTCTTCATTCCCTGCTTTGGGGCTTCCAAGAGGCATCTGCCGTTTTTTTAAAAAATACCTGTTGTTTACCCGTTCATCTTCCACCTCTTGTAAACCCTTCCCTTAGCATGCTGTCATCATTTGAGCAGTTTTTGTGATGTTTCCCCCTCCCTTAGTTTTTGCTTGGAAAAAATAATGGTGGGATGTTTGCAGAGGCTAAGGCATAGGCATGGGCATGGATGAATGTTCTTACAGATCAATGTGGATAAAAACCGACCAACTCCATGCATGAATATGTGGTTTTCTTTGTTACACAACGGTGTAACATCCATCTCTGCCAGACACCTGTTGGTTGTAGTGAAGATGATTTGTGCTCCTGATTGTATGTGCGTGTCGTGGGGGAGCGGAGGTGGTAAAGCTCCAAGTTCTTCTTTGGGGACACTTGACTACTCAACCGGCCACATTTGAACATCTGGCGCAGCCAGCTGTTAACAGTTGGTTAAGAACTTTCCTGCAAGGTTGAAGGGGGCCATTGATGTAAAACCAAATGATGTTGTTTTGTCAGGGTTACAAGGATCTGTTAAGAAAGCAGCTTCCCCGGGGGTTGCTCTGCGGGAAGACTGGGTACAGGAGCGTGACTTTGATTGAACAGCAATTTAAAAATTTGGGGCGGGTGGAGGAACATAGTTTTGCCAT